CCGGCGGCCGGGCGCGGGGGCGGCGGGACCTGCTCAGCGCCGCTCCTCCGCGTGGCTCCATCCGCGCGGGGGGTGCCCGCTGCTATCCTGGCCGCGTGGGAACAGCCTCTGCTGCGGGTCCCCCGTGGAATCAGGGTTTTGGAGGATTTTCCCCCAGATTCTTCTGGAAACCCGAGTCAGGAGAGCTGAGGGCTGAGGTCAGCAAGCTTGGCAGGTCCCTGGGGTGGAGATGAGGGGCTGAGGTGGGGAGCCGGATGGGCTCTTCATTTCAGGGTCGTCGAAGTCGGCGGGGGTGGGGGGGGGGCGATGGGGGGTGGATTTCGGAGAGTTATTGACGCGCCTGTGGGGAGGGGGGAGGGGGGGTAAAATGGGGAGGAGCTTTGAAGGCTCTGTTCAGGTAGGGCCTCACCCTGGGGAACAGGTGGCTCGTGGGGTCTGGCGTGCAGCGCGCGCGGTGTGGGGCGCCTAGACTTCGAGTCCGTCAGGGGCTGCCCTCTGGCCCGGGCTGAATCGGGGCGGCTGCACCTGGCCTCCCTCAGTCGGGCTCCAGAACTCCTGAGTCCTCGGGCTCCAGCCTGGCGCGGCCAGAGCCCCGTCGTCCTCCATCCTCCTCCAGCCCTCCCGCGTGGTGGGGGCGCTGGCGAAGATTCCTTTTACACATCCAGCGGCCGAGCCTTATTTTTCCTTTTCTGAAAAGCGTTTGTGATAGAGCTTGTGTTGGTGAGGGCTGAAGATGGTTGGTAATGGTGGGTACTGGTCTGGGCAGAGTGAGGGGCTTTGCGGATTCCCCAGTTCTCCCTGGATGTGGGGGAGGATGCGGTCAGGCCTGAGGGCTGGGGAGCTGGGCCGAATGGAGGAACGCCCTGGCCTGGGGTCGGGGGCAAGGCCGTGCCCTGCAGGCCCAGAGACTCCCTTACATCCGGTGGGTGCTGTCTGGGGGCCTGGCCCCGAGGCTGGCGGGCCTGCAGAGCCGAGCAGATGGTTGGGAGGGTCCGGCACCCCCACTGTGCGCAGCCCTGAGGCCCTGAATACAGCTGGGAAGAAGCTAGAAGGGGCAGTGGGCTGGGGGTCCCCAGACGGAGGCAAGCGGTTCTCCCAGGCAGAGGGTGGCTGTGGGAGGAGGTCACCCTTTCTAGGGGACCTTCTTGCCGTTTTTCTGCTTGCCCAGGAGCACGCAGACCCTAAACCAGGCACCACTTCTCTCAAGCTGACACTGCTTCTGCTGACTCCCCTACACTTTTCTGCGAGCTTCTGTGGGTCCCACACGGCACAGGGTGGCCCACCCAACTGCAGGCCTCCGTCCGGTTCCAGCAGCCGCTGTTAAGCCTGGCCACTGCCACCCACACCCACGCCGGGGAGTGGAGGTCTCGACTGCCCTGGCGAGGGGCCGGGAGGGGACCTCGCGTGGAGGCCAGGCTCCTCCCCAGCAGCAGGAGCCGGAGCAGCTTCGAGAAGGGAGCCACGTGGCTGCCCGCGGGCGGTGAGGCCGGGCCCCGAGGGTGAGTGGGTGAGGCGCCCTAGCCGTCGGGGTGGGCAGGGGCCTGGCAGGGGAAGGGAACACGCCCCAGGACCTGGGGCCCCGCCTCTGGGACCAGGAGGCTTTCGGCAAGCCCAGCATTCCCTTGTGGAGCCCCTCAGGCAGCGGGCCCAGGGAGGGCCCTGGGGGCCTGTCGCAGCCCTGCTGGGGCATCCCGGGTAGGAGAGGCCGAGCAAGTGCAGGGGGAGCCGCGGCGGGGCAGGGAGCAGAAGGCCCGCCCCTCCGCCCAGGGCTGGGGTCCAGGTGGCCATGATGCCCGCTTGCGGCTTGTTGACAGCGCCTGCCCGAGGCAGTGGGTGTTGCTGCCCTGGCCCCAGGTGCATGAGTCCAAGTTTATTTAAAGCTGCAGCCCCTGGCACCAGTCAGAGGACGCGGAGCTCTGTGCCCGGGAAGGGCCGGGCCACGGGCCCACAGCTGCCTGTGAGACGTGGCCACCCCCTCTCCCCTCCCTGCCCTGCTCAGAATCCTTCCCTGGGGGCCCCGGGGAGCAGGATCCGGGGGCCAAGGGGGCTGTTCTCTGGGGCTCTGCCCTTCCTGGTCTAGCGGGGCAGGGTCGCCAGGCCAGGGCTGGTGAACGCCCGCCAGGAGGCCCACGACCTGGGTCAAGAGCCACCTGGAGCTGGAGGTCCCCAGACAGGCACCCAGCAAGGGAGCGAAGCGCTTGGCACAGCGTCGACTGGGCAGCCATGCGGTTTTCATCGTTTTTATGGCGGATAGATTTTAAAAATTGAGAAAAATTCCGGGAGTAACAAAAGAACACTTGTATCTCTCCTACCAAGAACTGAAAACTTTTACTTTTTTGTCCTTTGGCTTTAAGTTCTTTTTTTTTTTTTTTTATGACAAGTAAGTGTTAAGTAATTCCGAGTAAGTTCTGGAGCCCTGACGTCCAGCTTGGTGATCCTGGGGAGTGGTACCACGTCGTGTACCTGGAATTTGCTGAGAGAGTGGGTCTTAAAAATTCTAACGATGTGCGCGCACACGCGTGCACACATTGCACGCACAGACGCTGCACGCACGCGCACGTATGCACACATTGCACGCACGCACACACATTGCACGCACAGACGCACGTGCACATTGCACGCACGCACACATCGCACGCACAGACGCTGCACACGCACACACGCACGCACGCACATTGCACGCACACACGCACGCGCACATTGCACGCACAGATGCTGCATGCACGCGCACGCAAGCACATTGCACGCACGCACACATTGCACGCACAGACGCTGCACGCACGCACACGCACACATTGCACACACACATTGCACGCACAGACGCACACGCGCGCGTGCACACATTGCACACAGACGCTGCACGCGCGCGCACGCACACATTGCACACAGACGCTGCACGCGCGCGCATGCACACATTGCACACAGACGCTGCACGCGCGCGCACGCACGCGGCAGTGACTCCGTGAGGCGGCAGACGTGTTAACCGTGATGGGCGTCGTCCCATGATGCTCACACACCTATCAATCACGCTGTACACCTCGTACTCAAAGTTGTGTGTCGATTACATCCCAGCAAAGCTGGAAAAAGCGCTCAGTAAGCTTTGTCCTGCAACCACTGTCCCGTATTTGCAGTTGATCCTTCCAGAGTTTTTGCTTCATTTACACACAGATAGGAGCCCCCGAATCGAACGTGTAGGGTTCTGTGGTGTGACTTGTTGTAACTTTCCAGAACCGTTCTGATCCGTGTTTTCACTCAGCTCCGTGCCCAGCGCACCCGACCGCAGTGGCTGCTGGCCTGAGGCCCGTGGTAGCCTCTAGATGGAGGCCTACGTTGCTCCCGGTGCTGCGTTCCCCAGGCCCACTGCGAGCTCGCTGGTGCACAGGCGCAACAGCTTCTGCAGGCTTGGTCCCCGGGCGGTGGGGCTGCAGGTGGGGGTCCCTGTGTCCGTGTGCATCAGCACTGGCAGATCTCAGCTGCTGGACAGTTGGTTGGGTAGGGAGAGGTCTTTGCGTTCGGGCTCCCGAATCTTCCACCTTGGGGGTCATCTCCTTTAAAATGTGGGTTATCTCTACGGAAGAAAGTAACTCCCACGAGGTTCGGGTTTCAGGGGTACTGAACGCTCTCCCCGGGGTAAGGTGGCCCCGCTGTAACCACCTCTAAAGTGCATGTCACTTGATTCGAGTTGACCAGGAAGCCGCCCTCCTGCCCCATTTTACAGACCCAGAACCACGGCTCAGGGAGGATGGGCTGTGTGTCCCAGCAGCGAGGAGGGCCGGCCTCCAGTCCAGGGCACCCCACCCCTCCCAGCTCCCCCTGAACTTTGCCAGGCCCAGAGCTGACCTTGGCGTGTCCTTGACTGCAGCCCGCCGGTCAGACGACAGGAGGCCCTGTCCTGGGGCGTGAGCCCTCGCTGGCGATGGGCCTTTGTCTCAGCCAGTGAGTGACCTGCTAGGGAGTTAATAGATAAACAGGATATTCAGAGCAAATTGATGGTTGAGTCTCCTGAGCTGCGAAGCCACTTGCCAGGAAAGGAAGAGAGGGCTGGTGGAGGAGGAGTGAGCTGTTTGCTCTCTCGCCTCCCCTCCAGCGAGCGCTTCCCGCCCCAGAGCCTTATGCCAGTGCTGCCTTCTGCCCCGGCTGCACCCCCAGACACCCCCCCTGGGGCCCACCCCTCCCTCACCCCGCTTTTGGCTGGCCAGAGCCCTCAGCCCCTCCGACACGCGGGCAGCCCCCCACTAGCCTGCGGGTGGGGTGCAGGCCCCTTAGGCACCAGGCCTGCCCACGGCGCCCGGGGCTGCACATTCGAGGGAGGGGTGAGCAAACTGGCCCCTAGAGCTGGAGTCCCATCCTTAGTGGAGGGTGTTTAGGGAAAAAGTCACACCCGCGTGGCTGCGGCAGGATGCACATGAAGGTGACGCTCCTGTAGTTACTATTGAGCGGTATTTTTATACCATAACCTACTTTGCCGGGAGCTAAGAATACCTCTCGCACTTGCTACCTGCACTCTTTCTCTCCTGGTAACGGTCCCAGCAGTTAAGTGGTGCTTATTACATCAGCGTGCTCATCCGTGAAATCCGCACTGTGACCATTCCCGGTTCATGGCACAGGTGGACGGAGGCGCCGAGACGCTCCATCCGGGGCCAAGGCCGCGTGGACCCGGATTCGAATCTGGACAGTGGGCTCCGGAGTCCGCCTTCTGCTCCTCGCAGAAGCTCGTGCCCCCACTCTGTTCTTTCCACCCGCTGACTCACGTCCCGCTTGTGGTCGACTTCGACCCTCGGCTTTTCGGGACTCACCTGTCCTTGGCAGGCTGCTCACCACGCCCGCTGTGCTTCTCCAGGCCCTGGTTCCTTTCTGTAAAAACCTTGCTTCCTTTGGTCGTCCTTCCGCGACAACCAAGACTCTGCCGCATTTGGACCAGCAAGGCTTGAGATTTTATTGCATTAATTAAACGAAGTGCAAGGACAATATCGTCTTATAAAGAGAAGTAAATATACATGTGTGTGCAGTAAAAGCGGCTCTTTGACAGTTTCCTCAGCCTGGAGGAGCCCGGGCGGACTAGCGTTGGTATAAGGACACACGTGCTCACGTACACGCACGTACAGGTCACATATGTATCTGACTTTAAAAACACAGATGGAATCACCGTGTATGTGATTCTGCATTTTGTTTGCTCTAACACCTGTTCACAGCGATCCCTCCAGTCGGAGCGTTTTCCTACAGCTCAGGGCCCATCCGTGCTCCTTGTCACACCGGCGTGTGCCGGCCATAGTTTTTAAGCCGAAGATGGGCCCCGTCCTCTGATAAGCATGACGGGGGATGAGAGGGCCCGTGTGTGATGTCAGGGTTCCCAGGCTTTCTTGGAGGACGTGATTACTGTGCAGGGAGGAGGATAGGCATCGTCTGTTCTTGGCCGGGCGCAGGAGCCTCCTTCAGAGAGAACCCAAGACCATATCCCCCCCCACCTTTTCTCTCGTCTAAGGGAGAGAGATTGTTTTCCTTCCACAGAAAAAGACATTGTTCCCTTGAGAGTCCGTGTTGACCCCACGGGGGTCTAACAGGTGCTGACCAGGACCAACCGGGCAGAGGTGAATGGTGTCTGCTCCTTGGACACGTTCTGATCCTCCCTCTGCTCTCCAAGGCCCTGGTTCAAGGCACGAGATGTGGCCTTTCTGGAGATTGCAAATATATTTTCAAAAAATTTAATTCCCTCTTCCTCTCCCACAAAAATGGAATCTGATTTTTAAAGCATCTTTCACAGCTGCGAGTCACTTTGTTAGTGGAGAAACATAAAAATGCATTATGTATCAACTTGGTTTTCCAAAAATTATCATATTGGCATATTACATAGAAATGTATATTTTATTCATATAAAAGTCTGAATCTACTTAAAATAAAAGCATCCTTGTACGTTAGAGTGGCAGGACTCGCTGCCAAGCCCCGGGGCCCCTTGTCCCCTGGTGTGCGGAGGGTCGCTAGCCTGGCCAGGGGCTCTGCTCCTGCCGCACGTCATCCTTTCGTTCGGACATAATGATCCTGACATAACTAAGGCAACGATTCTTTGTTAAGCCAGATACAGCATTTGTTGAATTCTGAAACAGATTGGCAATCTCTGGGCGAAGATTTAAGAAAATTTTATGGAGGAAGCATAAACCGCACTGTTCTACGGGGGGCGGGGTGGGGGACGACTGATTTCAGGGCCACCACCGTTCCCACTTGACAAGCAGCCGGTGCGGGTTTGACCTCAAACAGGAGAGTCACCAGGTCCCCTGAGGTAACGCCCTCCACGGGTCCAGCCCGTCCAGGGTGATGCCCATTTCCAGCGAGGAGCTGAGGGGCAGTCTCTGCCTCTCCATCACCCAGTCCACCCTGAATTCCAGGGCTTTGAGCCAGGCACGTGGTAGGTGCCCTACAGAGTGGCCTCCAACATTTTCTGCGGGTCCCGGGGACACTCAGACACCTGGCTTGAGTGGTCACCTGTCTTGTTACCTGGTGAGGT